CCATGTGAATGGTGCACATGGTGATGGAGGCTGGCAGGTCCCACATGCATGAGTCAAGCACAGGTCTGGCTGATTCCCCTCAGTCACGTGGCTGCAGGGACTGGCAAACCACAATTGGCAGGTCAGAAGACTGGGTGCTTGCTAAGTTCAAGGGTGAAGTTATGATGAAACTAGCAATGGATTAGGAGCAAGAGAGGGGGAACTTGGACAAAACATTTAAATATACACCTGCAAGGAAAACTGGGGTGTTGACCTGAGTCCCATCCTCTTCCTGGGGGGACTCAAGATCCACCCAAAAAAACCAACTACCATCGAGTCACATACAACTCATAGCAACCCCTCCTTGGGTTTCCGAGGCAGTATCACTAGGGAAGTAGGTTGCCCAACGTTCCTTATGAGGAGTGGCTTGTGGGTTTGAACTGCCAGGCTGCTGGTTAGCAGACAAGTGCCTTAGGCACTATGCCACCAGAGCTCTCACCCTAAACAGGCATAAACTCTAGGATTTACAACAGATCACAAAGTAGAGGACTATGGCTAGAAGGGCCATGTTAGGCAATTCCCTGCACTTCACAGCACCTGACCCTCCACCGCAGCCTCATGTCCCTGCTCCCCAAGGTGTGGACAGTGAGTCAGTTACAACGCATTGATGCCTATGGTGTTGAGGTCGCCAATTAGATGCTCCCAAGAATTCACTTGGAGAGAGAAAAAAAAAAAAAAAAAAGCCCTAGTTGAGCTTCAAGCGCTAAGAACTTCTTTTCCCACAGGACTGGCTCTGCTGCCCCCTGCTGGGCATGGCCATGCTTTAATCAAGGGTTACCAAGAAGTGCTTAGAAATGCTGTCATTCTACAATGAATGTTTTCACTGTTGTTACACTGTTCCTTAAGTAAGTGCAAGGGTGAGGCAAACCCAATGACACACAGTACAAGGACAATTTCAAGCAAATTAACTTTCCTTGAGAAAAATATGCAAATGGTTATCCTGAATTTCAAGTACTTCATGAAGTTTGCATCACTGATAACACTATTTGAAATCATAAAACTGCACCTGGAGGCATGAAATATAAGGCAAGACTAATGTTCACACCATCAGCCTTCTTCCAATTTGTCATGTCACTTACACATTCTTTGAAGTGTTACCAAGTTTGGGTTGTTTTGCTGTTGTCTTTTTTTGTTACTATCTTCTTTTTTTTCCTCCATGGGAATATCATAAAAAGATTCAGTTTCATAATGTCCCTTGAATTTGAAGACTTTCGATTTAAGGTGCATCTGTCTATAGACTCTAGATAAGAATGAAAGGACTTTGAAGCAACCAGTTGTGCTAAAAGACCAAGAAAAAGACTTTCTTCATAAAATCTTCAGAAACCCAGACCTGGCAATCTGACCTTTCCACCTTGAACCATTGGAGATGTCAATTTGCAGCTACCTGGACCCACCCAGTTAGTTGGCATGATGTGTCCCTGCAAGCATCTCTAATAATTGTGAGAACTTTATTCACAAATATCAAAAATTACAAGCAAAGAAGATGTCCTTCAA